GCTAGTAGGTTCCAGAAAAGGGGGCGTGGCCAAGGCGGAGCGAGGCCAGGCTGGGAGGATAAAAGGGGGCTCCGAGCAGGAGCTTGGGGCTGTCGTTTGGAGTGGGATCCCGTCGTGCTGCTGGAGTCTTCGTTGCCGTCTACGTCTTCACCATCTCGGCATTGTCAGTCAGGCAGTCTGCCAGATGTCCTGACTGGGAGCTGTAGTTAAATTTCGATTTAAAGCTTTCGTGACTGCAGGGATTCATCTTCTTGGTTCTTTCGGTAAAGTCACGTAGAAGGGAAATAAAATGTAAAAAACATAATAAAATAATTCTCACGACGTTTCGGCCTCCGCAGGGAATGGATTCTTTGCTCCGCTGCAAGTCTCCTACTACCACTCTCCCATTGACATATTTCGTTGCTTCCTCTTAGTACCTTTCACGCGACGGTCAATGGTATAGTGTATAGCAGATTGTATAATAATAAATAGTATAAAAGTGTAATGTTTAATATATAGTATCGTAATTGTATAGTAAATATACAGCAGTGTGGTATACAGTAAGGTGGGTAGAATAATACACAGTGTAATATTACAATGTATAATCTAAGGTATAGGGTGGTGTATAGTAATGCAGTATATATTTTAATGTTGGGTTTGTCTATGGTAGTATATAGTACGGGGTAGACCCGTGTGATGTAAGAGAAAAAAGTTTAGCTGGAGGCATATTATATTTTTTTGCGACGTAGAATTGTAATGTATGACTTACTGTTAGTAGCTCAGCTTATTGGAGAGTATATTTAGTATATTGATGATACTGATGTAGTTTATATTTTAGTTTTTTACCTGGTGGTTTAGCTGCTGCAGCTCCTTACTATTAAAAATTCCTTCCCTCTATTACTGCTAACCCTACTGCTTCCCTTTGATGCTGCTAATCCTGCATACTGCATAATGCACGGGCATAATATGACTTTGAAACCCCCCCCCCACCTCCTACGCATTCCACAAGTAGTGACTAATCCCATATCTGCATTTTCCATAAATATTCTAAATTCCTCTTGATATGCAAATTCCTTTGTCAAGGCGCCCCTTCCCCCCTCCAACCCAGCTTAAATATATGAAGAACGCTGCCAAGCCTGGTGGTGCCCACCAGGCTTGGCAGCGTTCTTCACCTGAGGACGGCTGCTTGCGTTGTGGCCGAAACGTCGTGAGAATTATTTTATTATGTTTTATTATTATTATTTTATTATTTCCCTTCTACGTGACTTTACTGAAAGATCCAAGAAGATGAGCTGTCGTTACTTTGTGTGAACTGTTAAGGCTGTTAATAAACAGAGTGCCTCCTACTCTTAGTGTCTCTGACCCAGTCACTACAGATGTACCCTTACATCACCCCCCCCCCCCCCCCACTAACAAACACGACGTGCGAAATCAACAAACTGCGGTATATACGTTTATGCTGCTGACGGGATAAAGGTAGTTGGTGGGGGGAGTTGGGGGGAGGTGGGAGGTGGATTCATGAAACTTAAACCAATATTTTCAACTCTGCCTGAGCCAGAAAAATTTAATCATGTATGTATGTTGAACTTCTTTTGCATCGTGCATAAAAAACACGTGCTAATTGGAGGTGCAGGTGAACGGACAACAAACTAAACACAACAACAATCATATTCTTTGGTTCTTTCGGAAATGTCACGTAGATATAAAAAATAAAGTGAAGTGGTTAGCACACTGACCTCTAAACCTTGGTCACCTGAGTTCGATTCCCAGCCAGGGCTAACTGCCTATTAAATAAATAAATAAATACATATTTTTGTCAGGTATGGCCCACTGATGTATGGAACTCTTTGTCAAAAGCGACCTGGCTATCACAAATTATATCTAAAGAAAGTGGCCTATCGTCACGGGGACATTTATAGTAGCCCAATACTCAAAATGCGTGATGTTGATTCCAAATGTGGAGGGGAAAACCGGAGGACCCGGAGAAAAATCCCCGTGACCAAGGGGAGAGAGACATGCAAACTCCAAATATGCAACAGGCGTCAGGGTTGTGATCGAATCCACGACCTGTATACCAGGTGTGATAGTAAACATCTCACTAGCCACCGTGGCCGCCACGTGATGGAAAGCGTCGAGCCAGATTATTTATTGCACGCACGCACGTGAGAACGAGGAAGTTCACACAAACAAAATATATTATACTCCCTCCAGGCAAATACCACATTTCATCGTTACAGACAAGACAGGCTCCTGCCTCGTCCTCATGAACACAATGGTATAAATACAAATGGAAAAAAAGAGCACTCTCCCTCAATGGCATTTTCCCCTTATCAAACGATCAATCATTGTCAGCCAGCAGCAAGTCAACGCTGAACAAATGCCTCTCCAAATCGCACTCTAATCTACCCCTAGATTATCTGGCAATGCGACAAATGCTCACCCAGTACCTGTCACGCACGGCGTGACTTCTGTGCTCCGTTTCCTTCAGTGGGGCCGTCCTCTTGGATGCATTTCTTTGGCTGCCACTCAACATCGTTGACCATGAACTATGTATGTGTATGTATGTGGCGAGCGGTGGCGCATTAGTTAGCTGTTATGTGAAACGAACCCGGCGACCAGAGTAGGTGGCCAGCACCACGTCCGGCTTCGTTTGTCTCCCCAGTGGCGACGTTTACTACACATTGGATCAGGTACTCATTTGGGGCTGAGTCGACCTTGGGGAGGCCGAGAGTCGGTTAATTTCGCCGCTGGTGTTGGTGGCCATTGGCGGGTATCGAACTCTGCCGGGTTGACAGCTACCGCTCTCCACACAATCACACACACTCATTCACTCTCACACATTTACTCACTCTGATAAAACGGGATAACGTACACGACTCTATACACTGAAAGGCGTGCCAGTGGAGAATTGGAGTTAGACCCCTTCTTGCTGTAAGGCACAAGTAAGGAAGTTCAAGAAGTTTAACACATAGGCTTTCGCGACCAATATAATGCATTATAGAGGTTTTTTTGGGTTAGATTGCGTAAATATATAAACTCGATGATGATGCAGGCAGTGATGAGAGGGGAACTGGGTACAATTTGGGCACCACATGTACAAGGATGGACAAGAACAAGATAGTGGAAAGTGTGCTCAGAAAAATGGAAAGAACCGGAAAAGGGAGGAAGACCTAACACATATTGACTTGACGGTGACTATTTAGAGATTGGTGCCAGAAAGATGTACCTACTAATTGAACAGTTAGGCACAAGACAAAGGAAAGTGGAAACAAATGATGAAATCTGCAGTTTAAACCTACAGGGAAATCTGGCCATGGATCATGATGATGATGATGATACGACAATGAGAGGGAATTAAAACTTAAAAGTATAGCCATTTTAAATATAAAAGCGACGTTGTGGTTGGTAATTAGTTGTGAGAGGCACCGCGTTCCATTCTGGTCCGGGAGCTCGTACACATCATAACCGGCCAGATGTTAACTCCATCGCGTGGTTTACAGGAGGTCGTGGGTTCGATCCCGACACCGACGCCTGTTGTGTATTTAGATTTTGCGCATCTCTCTCTCTCCCCGTGGTCGTGTATATTTTTCTCCTGGTCCTTCAGTTATTTTCTCTCCAAATTTTAAAACGTCCGTTAAAGAGTACGTTTTGCACGAAATAATCGTGAACGTAGTCGTGGGTTTAACTCTCCGACACAAAACAACCTGTTAGTGCTGAACTAGTAATCTAATTGTACAAGTTTTGTGTTACGTGATAAGCCAATTCGTTGAGCTATCATTTGTGGCCAAGTTGCTTTTGAAAATTTGCTATATATCTCAGCAACAGCCAAATATCCTAAATGCCTGTTTTTTTTTAATATCGAGGGGAAAAGAACTGGAGGACCCTGAGAAAAATCCATGCGACCACGACGGAGATAGAGAGAGAGACACGGAAACTCCAAGAAACAGGCATCATCAGGGTCGGGATCGAACCAACAACCTCCTGTATACCAGGCGAGGTAGTTAACATCTCCCTAGCCACCGCGGTCTCACATAGTTAACTAGTGTAGTTTAACAGGTAGGCTTTCACAACCAATATTATTCATAACTAGTAACTATTTGTCTTTTGTCAACGTGACACTTTTTTGCTGATTGGCCGTGTCGGGTGGTGGAGGGTTATGACACATTTATAAATAACGCGATTTAACTAGTGTAGTCTGCGCTCGTATTAATGTAGAAATAGCACAACCACACACACTCTCTCCGGTAAGCTCTCCTGTGGCTAAGCATCAACTTTGCCGTTCAGCTTCTGAACATATTTTGCTGCCATGCACAGGGATAGACGTCTTTCCTACGCAGTCGCTAAACGCCGTGCAAACTTACGACAATTATTCAACGGAGGTTTTAGGAAGGAAGAAAATCCATCAAAGGTCAACCCAAGCGATTTCCTGGCTGATATGCAGATCAGAGGTATTGTACGTTTTCCACAAAATAAGCGTGAACTTTGTCGTGGATTTAACTCTCCGACACAAAACAACCGGTTTGTTCTGAACTAGTAAACTAATTGCACACGTTTTGTGTTACGTGACACAAGCCCCTTACTGATTTTGGCTGTGTCAGGTGATGGTGGCTGATTTTAAAGCTTCATTTATATTTTTAAGCGATCTAACCTGAAATAAAATCCTTTATTACCGAAAATATTGAGGTTTTGCGACTACCATTACTTAATATTTTTTACTAACTTTTATATTTCTCAACAACAACAACCAAAATATGCAATAATCAACTCCCCTAGGTAAGATGGCTATCATCTGTAAAGTAACTATTTGTATTTTTTCTTGGAGCAATCGACAGAAACGATAGCATTGTTCAGAAAAATATTAACGTGGCAGGTACCCCTCCTGGCAAAAAAACTAAAAAAGTCTGCCTACTTAAGTCACAATGTGCCTTGGCGTGCCTTTATTTCGATGCAAGAACGACAGTGCCCAATTACGATTTAGTGATACGCAACGGATATCACAACAGCGCGTGTGTTGCACTTACCGACTTTGAAAATCGTTGAGAAAGAAGCTGAAAATCTCCGACCAGGCGTGAATCTCGATCTTCAAACGAAGTCAGCGGACACTCACACGGTGGATCTGTGTGCGCATATATATAGGAGTTAAGGGGCCATCCATATAGCACGTACGCACAAATCTGTCAACACTTGACCCCTACCCCCCTCCATTTACACACGCATAATTTTTGCACCCCACGCCCACCCACGTACATACGCTTGATGCACCCCCACCCGAATCCTATAGAACTGCCGATATTTAATCCACGCAGAAACGATCAATGATTAATAATATTAATGTGCTTAAGCAAACAGATAGTTTGCTTGTCTCTCTGCAGTCGTGTGGATTTTCCTCCGTGTAATCGGGTTTTCCCCTCTACATTTAGAAACATGCTTTTCAAGTATCTGGCTGCTGCTGCTATACATTTCCACGTGGTGATAAGCCACTTCTCTGAGCTGCAACCATCTGTGATAGATTTCGATTTAAAGCTTTCGTGACTGCAGGGATGCATCTTCTTGGTCTGTCTCCCCGACAGACTGGTCTTCACCTGAGGACGGCTGCTTGCGTTGTGGCCGAAACGTCGTGAGAATTATTTTATTATGTTTTATTTTTATTATTTTATTACTTCCCTTCTACGTAACTTTACTGAAAGAACCGAGAAGATGCATCTGTGATAGCTATGTCGCTTCTGAAAAAGAGCTATACTTTATAGCTCAGTGTCCTTTACACCTGGTACAATAACAAAGTTATTCACTCACCACTCACTCACCACTCACTCACCACTCACTCACCACTCACTCACCTACACACTCACTCACCTACACACCCACCCACTCACCCACCCACTCACCCACTCACTCACTCACCCACCCACCCACTCACTCACTCACCCACCCACCCACTCACCCACTCGCCCACTCACTCACTCACCATTCACTCACCACTTTCTCACCAGCTGGAGGCCCGTGTCTGACTACGTGGAGCAGCAGTTTGAACAGTTCACCACTTACTCACCACCCACTCACCACTCACTCACCCACCCACTCACCCACCCAACCACCCACTCACCCACCCACCCACCCACTCACCCACCCACCCACTCATATTTCCACGTGCTTTGTGCGGCGCTTTCAGGTGCGCTTCAGCAGCCGTCTGGAACGCTCTTCCTTTTGATATTAGGAAGTCACGGGAGCTATGTATTTCAAATCTAGTTTGAAAACTAATTAGATTTTTTAGTTTAGTTCATTGTCCTTGGCCCGCACCTCCGATTAGCACTGTTGGATACGTACGGTGCGAAAGAAGTTCAACATACATAACATGAATACAGGCAGGTGACTAAGTAATCATGGAATCCAGTTTCTATATTCCAAGACTAATTTCAAAATGAATTTCAAGTGTTTAAAAGGGATGATATTAAAATAAATGTTTTCATTGCAAGCTTAGATTTGGAAGAGATATTAGAGAAAAGTGACTCGGTGCCAGAGGGTACGTTTAAAATGGCAAGAATGCGGAAAAGTGCAAAGGTCTGCTGGATATCTGTGGGGATCTGGCCATTGCATGCAAATTCAGGATTATGGCTGCGAGATTTTCCGCAGTGATTTAGCGCACTGCCCTCTAAACCCCAGTCACCTGAGTTCGATTCCCAGCCGGGACTAATATGTTATTTAAAAACTTCAATTCCTATTAGGCTCGGAGTTATACGTGAGATGAGCCATGATTCATTCACAAAGTGTTTCTAAATGTAGAGGGAAAAAACCGGAGGACCCAGAGGAAAATCCACGCTACTTCTGGGAGAGAGACATGCACACTCTAAATATACCAGACAAGGTAGTTAACATCTCCTAGCCACCGTGGAAGCCAGGACTCTGGCAGGGCTTTTTTGTCGTCTTGGTATTATGACACCTGCAATATCCATTCTAGCAAATTGCAAACATCAGTTGAAATTCAATCATCTACAGAGGTCGCAATCGGGTACCCGATACCCGTACCATACCCGATACCCGGCTACCCGTACCCGGGCGGGTACGGGTACAGGTAGGGTACGGGTAGCCGTTTGCGACCCTGGTGCGGCCGGGTACGGGTACGGGTAGGCCGTGAATCACTGGTGAGTCACCGTTTGTCATTAATTTTCCAACGTCTTGTCTCTTCTCACAATTCAAGTTCCTAGAATCAACCCATTCGCGCCTGCAACATGACTTCTTCCTAGAGGTCACAATCGGGGACCCGATATCCGTACCCTACCCGATACCCGGCTACCCGTACCCGGCCGGGTATCGGGTAGACTACGGGTACGGGTAGGGTACGGGTAAGGAATCAAAACTCGTTTGCGACCTCTGATCGTCGAGCACGACGGTTGAAGCAATGGAATGTTTAGTTTCTTTAATCCCTCCAATTCTGTCCTCCCAGCAGTATGAATGGGTATTCCAGAGTTCGTCGATCAGAGGGTGAGTGCTTCCAGTTCCACAAATACATCTGGCCACTATAATAACAGAAGGGCAGTTTATACATATTAAATATATATTGTACTTAGCTGCTTTGCTCCCACATCTACCCCTCCGTGCTTGTACCAATTCGCATTGGCCAGAGTGATAGGGTTACGACAAATAACCCCCCAAACATGCACAGGGAGCAGAGCCCCTTAAATCCATAAAGTGAGCTGACAAAGGGGATGTATGTGTACGTGCTACGTACTCAACCAGAAGAAAACCTATAGACCTCTGTCCATCCACTGATGTATAAAGAGCCACCAAAATCCACGTCATTCATTTTCGTTTGTGTTTTTGTTGTTGTTACATCATTCAAAGTGATAGACAGTGAGGAATCGTGAAAAATAGGGGGGGATGGTTAATATATAACTTCCACGTAGGGGCGTCATGATGGCAAGATGTTAACTACCTTGCCTGGTATATAGGAGGTCGTGGGTTCGATTCCGATCCTGACGCCTTTATATTTGGAGTTTGCATGTTTCTCTCCTGTAAGATACCCGAGTTTGATTCCCGCTCACGGCACCAACACCAGCGGCGATTATCTGAACCGGCCTTGGGCCTCCCCTAGGTCGACTCAGCCTTAAATGAGTACCTGATCCGATGTGTAGTAAACAGTGTCACTTGGGAGACAAACGAAGCCAGACGTGGTGTTGACCAGCTACTCGGGTCACTGGGTTTGTAGCGCATTATAGCTAACCAATGCGCCACTGCTCGCCACATACATACATAGATTCATACATATGTAATAAAAGGACTCGAACACTTCTTTCTGTCTTCGTGTCTTTATTCAGGTTCACGTCTTTACCCACACGGCACTCTGTTATAACTCCTGTATTTGTAGCCCCCGGCTATTCACTGCTATTATAGCTTCCTCTCCCCTCTGACTCTCTGCTTCATCTATTGTAACCTCCTCCCTGCAGACTCGCTTCTACCCCTATGCAGACTCCTGCTGCTACCCCTATGTGCAGACCCTCTGGCTGTCACTGTATGCAGACCCGCTGCCCACCCTCTCTGTGCAGCCCCGCTGCTGACTGCAGCCTCCTCGCTGCTTCGGGTCGGTCACCGCTGGCCAACGGTGCCGATCCTCGCTCTCCCCGTGTTCGTGGCGATCTCGCCACACCCCGCTTCGCCCTTCGTGGCCTTCCTCTGTTCCTGGTTCCCCGTCACTCCCCTTGCTCTTCCGGTTCCCCTCCTTCTATACTCAACCCCTCTGCCCCCCACGTGACCTAACTCCTCCCCCCCTGACGGCACCTCAGAAGGGCCGTTTACAACCGCATTACATCACCCTCCCCCCTAAAGAAAATCCAGCCGACCTCGGCTGAATTGCAACCTGAAAAGCAATGCGGGTGTAAAGGGCCAACACGCAAAAAGACACGAAGCATTGAAGAACATTATAACAATAACACAACACAGCACAATCTAACGAAACGTGAGGGATTTCGAGCGAGTACGGGTAGCCGGGCCGTCCCGGACGGTCGGCGGCCCACCCGCCGAGCGGGAACGTGGAAGGGTTTTAGGGGCGACGGGCGCAAGTTCTTCCGTCGCCATTGGAGGCCCGCCACTGTCCCGCTCGCGTCCAGAAACATCCCGTACTCGCGTCCGCGGAGGGATAGGAAGAGCTGCAGGTCCCGTGGGTTCTGCGGCTCCGGTCGGCGTCCCACAAGCGGAAGGTCCTCCTCCCTGCGCTGTCACGGCCGGCTTGTCTGTGAAGGGTACGACAGGCGCTCTCGCAAGGTCAGCAGACACAGGCAAGGGCGAGTCGGCAGCAACAGACCCCGGCAAGGCAACTTCGGGAGATGACGCATCCGGCCGTGGGGCAATGTATGGCTTCAACCGGGACGTGTGCACGAACCAACGCCGTGCACCAACCTGAACACGCGCCGACTGTGGGTTGGGAACCTCAATGAGGCGGACCGGACCCTGCCAAGGTCGATGTAATTTAGGAGATGTACCTGGCCGCACCTGTGGGCAATGAAGCCAGGCCAGGTCCCCCTTTCTCCAGGGACACTCCCCCTTTGAACGTCGGGCACACCGCTCATTCCTGGCCTGAGCCTTGGCAGTAGCCATGCGGGCATTTTCCCTCGCCTCAGCGACACGCCGAACGTTGTCCTTAATATACTCAGGAAGAGGCTTAACAGGCCCCCTCGCACCGGTTCCCAACTGGTCATGAATCGGCGGCACATTCTCACAGCCGTACATAAGAAAAAACGGCGAGTATCCAGTAGCCGCGTGCGGCGTCATGCGATACGCCGAAAGCACCCCAGGGATATGCAAATCCCAATCAGATTGGTTTTCCCCGACCGTATGGCACAGCATGGCGGACAGAGTCCGATTCAACCGTTCCACCATACCATCCGTTTGCGGGTGGTAGGGGGACGTCCGTATCTTTTTAGTTCCAAGAGCCGCACACACCTCCCCCAACAATTTAGACGAAAAGTTACGTCCCTGATCCGTAAGGAGCCTCTCCGGAGCCCCTTTGTCCATTACATACCCAAATAGAAAGGCGTCCGTGATAGACGCCGCTGACTGGTCAGGCAAGGGCCAGGCCATCGGCCAGCGAGAGAGGTACTCCACCCCCACCAGTAAATACTTATTCCCTTTAGCTGATGGCGGAAAGGGTCCC